AGTTGGAAGCTCTGAGTGGATGGATTGAAAACACAAATACCATCAGCAAATTATGAGACCATGAGAACCAGGAAGCAAAACTGATTATGATCAAAAAAAAGTGAAATTCACAAACAAATAGAAGTTTCTTTTCACCCATCAAAAGGAAAAGCACTCACAAACAGAGCCAGCTCCCTCCTCTACATTCACATGGCTCTTTTTTCTTTGTTAATAACAGTACCTTGACCACTTTCATTTATTTCTTTGTGCCTTTTTGCTTTTTAAGACTCCAGATATGTGACAGAGCCACATTTCCACCTTCTGTCTTTGTCCAGAAGCTGCAGAAATTTAAGTAACAAACACAAAACGCTTTCCCACTTCAAACTGCACGATTCAGGGAGGCAAGAAAAATATCTGACACTGCGATACTCGCTGCGATAACCACGCATCTGCCAGCCTGAGGCCAAAATGAGATAGATATGCCCAAGGAACATAAATGGAAAGGAGTTAATCAAACTTCTAACAACTGCTTGGTGTTTATTATCTGTTACTCAACCTTTAGTCAAGCGAGCTCTCCTCAAAGCCTTGAGGAGAAAGGAAAACGCAGGAAAACCGGCACGCGCAGAAGATTTTGCCGACAAAGAACTGCGTTTTTCATGCAGATAATTTACAACAAGCTCCAACGTACAAACAATAATGACCTGATCCTGGCTTTTCCTACATCGGGTTCTGGAAGAGGAGAACTCTGGAGAGCCTTTTTTGGGGAAGATTCGCTGCGGTTGGTGGGGACTGAGGCACCGGCCGGATTCCCCGGCTCACCCGGCTGGAGCCTGGGGACATCAGCACCAGCTGCTGATGGTCCATCAGCAGGACAAGACAGGAAGAAAACTCCTGGGTTTCAATCAATTTTCCCTCTTCTATCTATCAGTTGTACATCCCCTGTCTACGGACTCGGCATCTTCTAGGAATAAGGGCTGTAATTTGCTAACAAAAGAGCTGCTCAGTACTCCAAGGTAAAGCAGAGGCTTGCAAAGAAAACCCTGCGGATGTCCCAGGCGCTTCTTCTCACCTTCATTCTCAGCAGCTCAGCAGCTCAAGGAATTGCTTTCCACATTTCCAAGCAGTGGCAGAGCTTTTCCATCTCTTTTTACAAAGGCATATTTTTTTTTCCTGAAGGATGGAGAGGCACAGGGGCAGAGACAATTCACTACTTAGACACACTTTTACTCCTGCAGCAACCTCACTTGTTCTCATTAAAAAGAGGCAATTAAGGCAAAATGAAAAGCCATGTGGGAGCAGACCCGAAGTGCTCCAGCTCAGGATGCTGTTTCAGACAGCCAGGAGCAGCAGTCAGAGGGTTTAAGGCTGGCAGCAAGGGACAGATCTCTGCCCCAGCTCATCCTTCCAGCCTGTGACTGGTGGCTCCCTGAGGCGGACGCTGCCTCCAAACACTGCTGCAGTGAGCAGCCATCCTCAGCCCTCCCTGGATTTGCCAGTCCTTCCTTAAAATAACACCTATTTCTGACCTGTGCGAAATCCTGGGGTGAGGAACCCCATCACCCAACAGTGAGAAGGCTGAAAAAGCCTTTCCTCGACCTGCTGCCAGGGCAGAGGAGCTGAAGGCACCCGATGCTCTGCCTGACCTGCCTGAGCAGAGGAACTCACTCACCTTGTCCCAGCAGGGTTTCTGGGATTTCCTTGAGAAGGAGCAGCAGTACTGAGGGCTCATGATGCTCACTGGGACAGAAAAAAAATCATGGGGGTACTCAGGCAGCCCGTGCCCAGCTTTAATTGTGAATCAGCCTGCTATAATGTCACCCACCTGAGTGCCAGCACTTTCATACTGAAGAGAGACTGAAGGACAGCAATAATCCCCAAACACACAACTTGAGCATGTAATGGACTGAAGCATGGTTTATTCACTTCTTACAAAACGTATCCCAGCATAACTATTTTTCTTTTGCTGTTCATGCTTTCTCCACATCGTTTTATCAGCCATCAACTGTGAGCCTCAAACAAACCAACCAAAAGAAAAAAAAAAAAAAAAGCAGAAGTCAAAAATACCCATCGGAAAAAACAAAACAATTGAGAATTACCCCAGAGCCACAAGCTCTGGGAACCCACAGGCAAGTGACAGGTTTCTGTCACCCTCAAAGGGCACAAATGCAATAGGAGCTCGTTGCCTTTTCTGGAAAGTTTGGGGATCCCCTCAGCTCAGCTGGGACCTGCACTTTCATCCCTGCTTTAGCCGGACTTAGCGAAAGTTGCGCTAGCACAGCAAGAGTTTTTGGTTTTATCCTAACAGGTTATTTTGTGACAAATTTGCACTGAGACTGCAAAGCTTTCCCAGCTACACAGCAGGGGTAGGGATTTTTATTTATTTCTTTTTGCCCTGATATTTATCAGCTTTTAGGGTAAGGTGTTCAGAGCGAGGAGCTGAATGAACTTGGTAAGAATGACAGCTCAGCAGCACTGCTGCAAACTCAGCTCCTTAACCCACGGACAGCTCTCCCTGCAAGTGTTACAACCACAGCTACTCCCAGGAATGCTTTTTCTTTTTAATAAGAGAGACGTTTTATCCTGAACCTCTCTCAAATAAAACAGTGGTGAAATATTTACTTCAATCTCAAACATCCAAATAAAACCTGTAATTTCTGTGTCAAACTACTTATCTTAATTTTTGTTTATAAAAACAGCACCGATAATTTGGTTTTTCCCTTCAGTTTGGAACAAAACTCAGTGGCAAACCAGCTGATTTTCCTTCAGGTTGGAAGAACATTTTTAGTATTCTTGAGAAATTTACAATTTCTTCAAAAGGCTTTTACCTTTTCTCACTTAAAAGCATGGAGCCCCGTGTTAGCTTTTCCACTGAACCAGTTCTCATTTTTCACCGAGAAAAGCTCCTACCTCTGTTGCACTTCCTAGCTCCAGCACAGTCCTTTTGCTGCATGGATTGCATAACACTTCACAGGACACACTCAGCAGGTAGGGAAACTGAGGCACGGAGACTCCCAGGATGTGCTAAATGCATCCATGAGAGACCCAGAAAGCCCAGATGACAGTTCTGCCCATAAACCTGGTGGAATTTATTCATTTATTCCTCTCCCTTCCTTCTTTTATTTTTTGTTGTTGTTGTTGTTGTTGTTGCTTACTTTAGAATACTTCTAAAACTTTCTAATTCACTGCAACTGTATTAAAACTTTTACAGCATTCAGCATTCAGAGAATTTCCAAATTATTTGAAGTGGTAATTTGGTCCCTGCCCAGCAGTGCTGGCTAGAAAACAAGCTCTTGGATTACTTTTTCTGGGGGGGTTCTTTTCATGGTTTAAAAGCAAGGTGAGTATTGGTGAAACGCAGCTCTCCTTTCCCATGCTGACCAAGCTCGCAGCTGGAAAGGGGCAACGTCAGGAGTAAATGAGGAGTAAATCCAAATAAAATATGATAAACCAAATCGAGTACAGAGCAGAAATAAAAAAGACTTGTCTGCATTTGATATCTTGCGGATTCTCCAGGGCACAAGGAGCTGAATCGGGGGCGCCGCAATCGCTGTTTTCCCCACTAAAATACATACAATACACACCTTTAGAGCCAGAAATTGTAGTTTTCGGGCCCTGGGAAGGGAAATATTTGCAAGGCATGTCCCAGCGGCGGTGGATCGGCTCTCGGGGGAGCAGAGGAGCGGCCCCGGCTCGCTCGCTCCATCCCGAGCGCGCTCCTGGAGGATGCTCCCCGCCGGGATCGCATCCGGCCGGGCCGAGCTCGGGGCTCCCACGGGCGCTTCTGCAAGGAGCGGCTGCTTTTGGGAAGGCTTCCCGCTTCCCCAGCTCGGTTTCCTTCGGAATACCGAGAAAACCACGTCGGATCCACGGGGAAAAGAGGGTCGGAGGTGGCTCCCGCGGGGAAAAAAAAAAACCCAAAAAAAAAAAAAAAAAAAAAACAAACCCAAAAACAAACAAAAAAAATCAAACCAACAAAAAAATCGAAAAGCGAACGAAAATTTCAATTGGCATTTTCGTTCGCTTCTCCTTTCGTTTCGTTTCGTTGTTTTTTCCCCGTTTTTCGCCGGGAAGCTCCCTCGGAAGCGAGCCCGTGTTCGCAGCCGCGGCCAGCCCGGACCCTCACGGAACTCCCCGCGGCCGGGGATGTAATTATTTTAGCAGAGAGCAGCTAAAGGGGGATAACTGACCCTGCACGGCCCCTGCACAGCCCGCTCAGCCTTTCTGCCAGCGCTGCGCTTGGGAAACGCCGCGCAAGCCGGCGCCCATCCCGCTGCCGGGGCCGCTGGGCTGGCCGGGCCACGGCTGCTCGAGCTGCCGGGCTCGGACTGCTCCGGACGGGCAGCTCAGAGACCGGCCTGGCCCCTGCCCTGCCCGCCGGGATCGGGGGAACGGGGGCTCGGGGAGAGGCAGAATGCGGCTCCGCCACCTGGGAGCCGCGCACGCACCCTCGGGCTGCCTGCGAGCCCCGGCGCTCCCGGCAGGGCATCGGACAATCGTCCGCACCCCATCCAAACCCTGAGCAGCCTCCCGGTGTCCCGCAAACCACGGCGCCGGTGCCCGCTCCGACGGGCAGGACGGACGGACGGACGGACGGACGGACGGACGGACGGAGGGAGGGAGGTTCAGCGCCCACAGCGCCTCGCCCCGTCCAGCCAAGCGCCGTTCTCAGCCCACCCCGGCAAGGAATGGACGAGGGGCCGAGCCCGTGGGCCCGATCCTGCCCGCTTCTGCTCTCCGGGATGTTCTCCTGCTCCCCGCAGGGTGCAGGAGCCACGGCCCCGGACCCGACGGGCGCGGTGGCGAAGGGCAGCTCGCCCTTTTCCCGGGACGCGGCTGGGGAAAACAAGGCTTTTCACACGCCGGTGGGTGCCGACCCCGCCGGGACTCCCGGCACGGCGGGGAAGGGCGGCTCGGGGAGCGGGGGAAGCCGGGCTGAGCACCGGCAGAGCCCCCCGGAGCCGGCGCCGCCCGCCGCGGCTGCCCCGGCGAGAGATGGAAGGGGAGGATGTCCCCGCACTTACTGTCCTGCTGCGGGGTGTCGCTGCCGCTGGTCAGCCCGGGGGACTCCAACAAGCTCCGGCCGGGCTCGCCGCCGCCCTCCTCCGCCTGGGCGGCCACCATGTCGCCCGCCTCCTCCAGGTCCAGCAGGTGACTCACGGAGAAGTTCTTCTTGGCTTGTAAATTGTCCAGGCCGGCGGGGCCGTCCAGGCGGGCGGGCAGCAGGGCCTGCCTGTCCATGGCGTGGGCATAGCTGGACGCCATGGTGCCGAGCGGGGCTTTTCTGCCCTCGCCCCCCGCGGGCGCCCACCGCCCCCGCGCCCCCCCAGCCGCCGGCGCTGCGAGGGGGGAACGCGCACGGAGCGGAGCGGGGCGAGCGGGACGGGACCCGACGGCGGCGGCTAGGGAAGCCCGAAGGGGAGCGGGCAGGGCCGGGCTTAAAACATGCCGGAGGGGAGAGGCGGCGGCCGGCTCGGGGCGCCGGGGCGGCGGCGCGGGGAGCTGCCGCCGGCCGGGAGGCGCAGGGCGGCTGTGGGGCCGCTGGGGCGGGTGCGCCCCGTCCCTCCGCCCCGCCGCCGCCGGCTCCGCTCCCTCCGCCCCTGCCCTCCCCTCCCCTCCGCCCCGCACTTCAAACGGCGGGGGCGGCTCCGCTCCGGGCACCCGCGGGGCCCCGCCGGGACGCGGCTCCGGGACGGGGCCGGCAGCGCCGCGGGCCCGCGGGGGGCGGCCGGAGCGGGGTGCTGGGCTGGCCCCCCGCCCCTTGCCGGCCGGCGCTGCACCTGGAGGGGAGGGCGGACGCACCCCTGGGAGTGAGGAGAGGGATAGCGAAAATGAGAAATGCAGATGAAAAGGTGAGCGAGGGTAATGGAAGAGAAAGTGCGAACAGGAGAGAGGGAAGGTAGAGGAAAAACAGCCAAAGGAGAAAAAGTGCGGCAGAGAACTGAGAGAAATAGACCAAGACAGGAGTAAAGCGAAAAGAACGGAAGGGAAAAAAAACCCGAAAAAAACCCCGAGGACACAGTCGGAGCTCCTCAGGCCAGCGAGCAAAGGGGTCCCCGCCGTGTGTGCTGGCCCTGGTGGCCCTGTGGCCGGACACCGGCAGTGGCCCTCGGAGCCTGCCCCGGGACAGCGGGGCTGGCGAGGGGCCGGGGCCGCGGGCCAGCGAGCGCCGCTGCCTCCCGGGGCTGCAGCCGGGGCTCCGAGCTGCCACAGCCAGCCCAGAATTTCCATCCCCCCTGATCTGGGGAAAGAACATTTGATGCCATCAAAGGGCTCCAGATTGAAAACAGATGTGCTTCCCGAGCCTCTCCATGCATTTAATTAAGGCACAGGCATGGAGGAGACATTTTCATCATTAGTTTGCTTTCAGTCCCCCCCCCCCACCCCGCACCTCTGGTCCCAGTTTACCCTTTGCAGTCTCAAAGACCCAAATGAGCAGGGCAGGGCTGCAGAGCTCTGCTGGACCCAGGTTGGGGGGTTGTGGGGGTAGACAAAGCTGGTGGATACTGGATGGAAGGGCCAAAAGAAAAAAAAAAACAAAAAACCTTGGGGCAAGTCGTGCGTGTGCACAGAAGCATGTGGGTGTGCACACACCCAAAATGCTGCGGGTGCATCTGTGTATGCAGCACAGTGACTTCTTCTGCATCTGAAGGAGAACTTGTGTGATGTCCTCCGGTACATGTCCACATGTTGGATGGGGAAGGAGTTGTGCCTTCACATGGGTGTGCAAGGCTGTATCTGGCTGGCTTTTGTATATTGGCATCTTGTCCTGTGGCTCTGCAGGTTCAGGCTAGGCAGGGTGTGTGTTCACCTGTACATACCCTAATCATGAAATGCCCTTTTCTCTGCCTTTCCCAGATATCTGGCTGCTGCCTCTTTTCTTGGTGAGCTGGGGTTTACTTTCTTTCTCCCTGACCTGCTTCAAATGGATGTTTGCAGCTGGCTGTCCTGAGTGAGTGCTGCAGAGGCCCGGCCATAAACATCCCTTTCCACGGGCAGTGGGGTCTGCTCTTAGCCTTGGGGTGTCAGAGGAGCCACAAAAACCAGACCAAGAGGTCTCTGTGCCACCTTCAGCAATGCCCTCACTGACATCCCTGGTGAGATCTCCTCATGCCTAAGTGCATCCTTCAGACCATGCTCCCTGCCAGCCCTGGGGTTGGGGATGCAGCCCAAATTTCCCCTGGGAAGAGGAAGCGCCCAGCTCCAGGACTGAGGCTTCATCCTGAGGTGAGTCCTGGCTGCTCCCCTCACGTGCAGCACCCCCAGGCTGAATTCCAACACAGGCTGCCTGATTCACATTCTGAACGTGACCTGAACCCCTCCTACGGCGTAACTGGATTTCTGTCACTGGGTGGGAGGGACAAGCTGAATCCAAGGGGAACTCTGACAACTCTGTCTGTTCCAGGAGGAAGGAGACTGGGAGCAATGCCTGCACAGAGCACTACAGGGCTGCAGTTCATCTCTCAGTTATCTCTGTTCTGGCCAGACAGGCCTTGTGCCAAGGCACACCTAGGACGTGGAAATGAGTGCAGTGGGAACCTCCTGGGCTCTGACAGGGATAGTGCCTGTGCTGCCACCTCAGTTTATGATGCATCAGACCCGAAGCAGAGGTGATAGGGTACCCCAGTTCTCGCAGTCCTGAGGCTGGGAAGGACTGCCATGCCACAGATGGCCCATGGCAGCAGAGCCAGGCACCCTCTGAACATCCCACAGGCCATCAAGGAGCTGATCAGACATTCGTTTCCTCCCTCACCACTGCCCTGTGTCAAGCTGAACAGGTAACTCCCCTTCCCCTCTGTCCTCCCATCCCACTTTTCCTCTCCAATGTGCACCTGCCTGGAGCCTGCTCACAGCCCCATTCCTCCCTCTCCCAGCTGTCCAGCAAATGGTTGCCTTCTGCTCACACTCCCAGCAGGGCAGGAGCCTCTGAGCCACTTCTAGCAAAGGAGAAGAATAAAAAACCCAGAAGTCCTGAAACAGCCAGAAGTCTGCCTGGTGAAGCACCCACAGCTGAAACGCTCAGCCTCACACCACAGCCAGACCCCAGTTTTGCCCTTCCAGCTCCCAAAAGTGGCTGTCACGTTGAAGAACATCAGTGAGACTCACCAGCTGGAGCCTTGCCTCAAAACCTACCTCCCCTCTGCTGTGATCATGTCCAACACTGGGAGAAAGTGAAGCAGAAACCCCCATTTTCCTTTCCCTAGTTGCATTTCAAGAAGGGGAACCCCAAATATCTGCATCTCTGCAGATGACCAGCACATTTTGCTTCCGCTTTCTTTTCTCATAGAAAATCACAAACACCCCGCAGTGCCAGTGAGAAAGCCCCTAACTAGGAGTGTATTTTTGATTCTTGAAGTTTCCCATGAAGTCCAGCACTGGCAGCTCCTGTGGTTCCCACCCCCAAAATGTGGGCTGCCCAATATGCTATAAACCCTCAGGAGCATTCCCTTCATGTCTCTCTGAACAGCAGCTTTGGAGCTCCACAGTGTTGGTGCCACTTTTCGGGTACAACAAACAGGACCTGACGAGCCCCCCAAGGGTCTTGGAGCCAACAAGAAACAGCCAGAGCAGATGAGCAGCTGTAAAATCCCCAGCTCACACCCCTTGGGGCTGGCATTAGTGGGATGCAGGAGGGTGCAAAGCAGCAAGAAAGCCAAGATTTCCTCTGCCCTGCCCTCACATCCTGACCACCACACCCTGTGCCTCTACCAGCACAGATTGCCCCCTTCTTTCAGGTGCCCTAAGTATCTTTTCTTCCACCTGGGTTTGAATAAAAGAAACCAGACAGAAGAACCTGTGGTGCCCGGGTGTGTGTCCTCAGCTGGTGATTGTATCATGGCATTCAGGTGAAGAAGCATTTTGCTCAGTGAGGAAAAGTCCTTTGGGTCTCCCCTACTTCATTTTCAGTGTGTGAAGTCTTAGAGCCCTTTTTTGATCTGCCAAATGCGTTTCATCCCAGAAATTAAATACGAAAATAATGCAGGGGGGCAGTGAGGAGCAGGAGCTGGCAGCCAGAACAAGCTTGTGCCTGTAGGAAAGCTGACCAAAGTGCACACACCATCTATTCCTGCTCTGTGCAGGTGCTCAGCTGTTTGCAGACATGCTGCATGCCCTCCAGCTTTGCTCTCTTGAGGGCCTGGACAGGGTGCAAGCAGTTTATATTGGTGCTTGAGAGGGCAGCAGGGCACAAATGATGTCCACTCCTCTCCTAGGCCCAGAGCAGCTTTGCAGAGGGAGTGCTCCAACACAGGCACCCCAAAACCTCAGCCACGGCTCCTTAGGGGAAAGGTGATGAGAGGCACGGATTCAGAGCATCCCTCTGCCTCTGGCTCTTCTCAGCCTGCATCCACAGTGTCCCATGGCCTGCCCAGCCCAGAGAGATCCCCACTGCTGGACTCCTTGATGCCACAGTGCTGTGGAGCCAAACCAGAATTCTTTCCCCCTGAGAAGTTTTCCCCCAGCCATCCCATCGTGCTGGTTCACTTTCATGGCTGGCCTGAAGCCCTTCTGCACTTGCTGCAGTCAGGGCTGGGTGAGCTCTGCCTGGAGCTGGGCACAGGGAGCACCTGCAGGAACACTTGTGTGCATCTCACATCCTTTTTCAGGTGTGGGGGGGATTTTAGGGGTATGTGCTCATAGCCAGACCTGTCCCCCACAAACTCCTGCTACAGACACACTTGGACCAAACCTCCCTCTTTTCTTTCCTCCCCACACAGAGGTGTGTTATTACATCTGTGGGGATCAGGTAGTCTGCAGTCCTTCCAAGCTGTAAACTCAACATCAGGGTTTCTTTTAATCCCAAACATCTTGATGTCATCTGGAAATGCTGTGAGCAGTTTATAATTAGGGTTTAGCATGCAGATTAATACCAGCAGCTCCAGGGTGAACAGACCATCAGAGTCTAATCAAAGCTTAAATGGGGCAGCAATTTAGTACTGAGATTTATTATTCCTCTGCACAATATTTTGAACCAGAGGCTGAGTTCACAGCACACACAATCATTCCTGGAAGTGCTATCACATCTCCAGTCAGAGCAAGGTGCCTTGTTACTGGTTCACGGGGGTGATAAATACTTGGCTCTGGGAACATATTTAGGAATATCACAGCACTGACACTGTACAAGATTTAGAACCTGAGGCAGGAGAACACTTGCACACGTGCTCCAGCCCCATGTGGATGGTGGGGCAAGGCCATGCACTTGCATTTTTCCTTTTGCTGTGCACCAGGTGTAATAAGGGAGGTGTCCCAGGATAGCAGCTGAGGGGATTTTTTTGCCATCTCCCCTGGCCATTTGTGGGGAGGAAGGATGGAAAGCTTTGTGTTACTCAAGGGGGGCATGAAGCCACCTCACAGCAACAGAACCTTCAGGGGAGCTGGCACTCTGTTGCAGGCTCAGCTGAGGGCTGGGGAGGGAGTTCTGTGCCCCATGCAGCCAGGGACAACTCCTCCTGAATGGTATTCCTGCCAAGCCCCTCTGGACGGCTCCTG